TTTCAAAGACCAGCGTAAAATACTTTGGATATTTTGTGAAGACAATGATCAGGTATTATTACTGGTCAATAATGCAAACCATGTTATTCAGACAATTTATCAGGATTGCAGGTGCATCAGCAATCTTTTCACAGACTTTTAGTTGATCAAAGACCTGCATAAATTCCTTTGGATATTTTGTGAAGAATTATGGTTAATCATGTTTTATTCTGTAGATCTTTAATTATTCCACATATCAAGTCATGCCTCTTAGATAGTATCGCAAGATAGCGGGATTAATCAGGAATTATTTCTAAAAACCTTAAATTGACCAAAGACCTACAAAAAGTCCTTTGGATATTTTGTCACGACATCAGGTTGATCAGGAATTATTCTGAAGATCTCCAAATGTACAGTTTTCCAAATCATGTTCCTAAGATATTTTTTTCAGTTAGCAAGTTGATCAGGATTTTTTTTTTCACAGGCCTACTTTCGATCAAAAACCTTTATAAAGTCCTCTAGATATTAGGCAGGCACTTCATGTTGATTAGAAAATATTAGACAATTTGAAAAGTAACCGGGAAACCGGGAAAAAAAACCCGGGAATTCGATGAGACAACCGGGAAAAATAAATTAGCCACACCATAGGAATACATTTTTACACTAGAATTTCAGAATAAATCATTAAAACAGAGTGATTTAAAAAAAAAAAATCAAAACCAAAATGTATTCCTCTATTTGCTGCATAATTTTCTTCAGATTCCCATCTTATTGTTTTTAGAATTCAATCACTCAGCATTATTTCAAATTGATTTTTGTCGTTTCAATTTCAGATGTAAAGTTCATGGATCTTAAAACAAAATATTGAAGATGCTGGACTTTAGAGATAAATATTTATAAAAACTGAAACTGAACTATTCTTTTCTGGGGTTTTAATTTTATTCAAAATTCTCTTGATATGAATTCCAGAATAAACTTGGAATCCTGCTCTGAATTATCATGGAATTCTTCTGAAATTAACCAGAAAACACTCTGCGTAATAACTACCGTTGAAGTCTTTTTGGAATTTTCTTGAAACCCCTTCTAAGAATTTGATTGGAATCCGTCTTAGAATCCTCTTGAACCTTTGAAATTCTTTTCATAATTTTCTTTTAACTCTATTCGAAACAGCACAAACTTTCGAAATTTTATTTAGAATTCCCTAGGAGTATTTTAAAGAATTTCGTTATAATTATTAGCATTTTTTTTTACAATAAATTTTGTTGGAGCTCTGTGATGAATCTTTCGCATTAGGGCTGAAATTATCGCCAGAATACTCTTAGAACTCTGTCTCTTTTTGAATTCTCATCATAATTCGCTTGGAATTCTTCTTAAAATTCATCTGTCTTTTCTCTCACGATCCTCATACAAATCTCCTCAGCATTACGTAGGAATTTTCTTTAATTATTTTTTCACAACCCCTTTTGAAATCTTCAAAAAATACCTAATAATTTAATCTAGAAGTTGCAATCTTCTCCACAGAAATCCCTCCAAATTCTTCTAACAATTTCTAAGTACTTTATGTTACAATAATTCTGGAACTCTGCTCAGAACTTCTCCCTCGAAAACTATGTGGGATTCCTCCTCAATATTTGTTTGAAATCAACACTTTGAATACTTTTGAATTTTACTAAAATTTCCAGGGTTTGTCCGCAAGATTCTGTAGATTGTTATGTAATTTGTTATAACCCTTAAAATGCTTCCAAGCCTCAGAGCCTTGAATATTATGACTGAAAGACTATTTAATAAATATAATATATATTTTTCAAATCTGTGATAAAAATACATAATCTCACATTTTAACTATTTTTTCTCCAAATCTCGCATCACGAAGATTGTTTATTAATCCCAAATTTTGAAGAAAAGTTCTAGTTGCAGACTCTACACAAATTTCAAAGCCTCAGAATCTTGGGAATTTACTTAAATCATTAAATAACCTTTCACTATTTTTTTTAAGCATTGGTCTATTGGACGTGGGTATAAAATTTCATGAACCATGTTTAGTTTCACGTTGAGCGAGTTCCAGCAAGTTTTTCGTGTTAAACTTTGTACATCAGTGCGAGTACTGAAAGGTTAATATTTATTTTAGTATTGTTAATGGAGTGAAGACACATTTTCTTTTTCCGATATCCCTAAAAATTTGCTTAAGTTGATTTTTTCTGAAACATTTATTTTAATTAAATCTCTTATTCTTCACAATTCTGTAGTACTTTTATTGAGTACTTTGACGTTGAGGTTTGGTGAAAACAACTCAAAAACAGGATCATTGTATACATGTGAGCAAATGGCAACTACTTCTTACAGTTTTGAGGCCCCACACGCAAACTCAAGATTGGCAAATTTTGGTTGTGTTAGTTAACATGGATGCATGTAGCTTGTTTGGAAAATTTCACGTTACTGCTATTGTTAACAAAAGCAGTTTCGATTATTTTTTAATTCATTTAAACGATATTACCTCCAGGCTATTTCCTATTTAATCATCCCTTTTACCCACACATGGATACTAGACTGATGCAAAATTTGACTTTTTCGCTCCACAGTGCTTAAATGGTTTCGAATCGGGTCCTGTTTAGCCTCCCAAAGTTACAACTCATTTGGTTAGAAACAGACTTCGCACGAGCCATTTGAACTTTACATGTTAATTACTATGGGAAATCTCAACTTTTTGTTCATTGCCTTCTAGTCTTTTTCCATATTGAGCTGCGAAACAGTTCGATAGCCATTCTTATAGAAAATTTTCTCAACTACAACTTTGCTGAAGATCGTTTCTATGTAAAACGAGACAGGAAAACAAGCAGCTGGGAAAATTTCCCTCAAGTACAGTTGAAAGCTTTTGAAGCAGACCGATATGGTTTTACCATAGTAATTCCCATACAAACTTCAAATGGTTTGTGCCATCTCAGTCTCTCACCAAATGGGTTCAAACTTTGAGAGGTTAGTCAGGATCCGATTTGGAATCGTTTCCGAATTGTTTCCGACGAAGTAGCCCGCATACGCCTATGGTTAAAGCTGTGGATCTGTGTGCGATGCAGTATATAGGCCGATTGATCGAGAGATGAGAGGAGCGATAAAGACATCATCCGAAATTAACGGAGAGTTCGGAACGATGACGTCACGAAGCAAGCGTATACTGATCGGGTCTGGATTCGGATTAGTGTTAGGAAATAAGGAATGCATTTTTTAGTTGCTACATATCAACCACGGTGTCCGGTCGACGGTCTATTTTTGTATAACTATTAAGTAGATTCGAAATATTAGTTTAAGTCCATTGTGTAATAAATGTTAAAAGTAGTATTTTGTTTGCCCTAAAATAAATTGTGTATTGCTTGTACGTCGCGTCGTTATTATATTATAAACGAAGAATTGTGGAACTTGGCAGTGTCGGGATTGTGTGTCACAGTCTACAGTCCACTTGGATTCATCCTACACCTTCAACCCGCTTTAGGAACGAGCGGTTTGGATTGCTGCAACTGGAAATCGATTGGTAGGAAGGAATTGATTACACCCCGACATTTGGTCCTTCGAACCGGATCAGGGAGCCCCGGTAGGACTTTTCACCACAACAATTCACGCTCGGAAAGCGCCATTGGATCCACCAAGGCACTATTGTATCCACTAAATCGCCATTGGAACCGCCATATCACCACTTTAACAGTCCGCGCAAGGACAAAGGACACGCCATCGCTACTGGAAGGACTTTGAAAGGCACCACCATATTGATCACCTCTTCTGGTTTGGGCATCAGTACCGTCAGCTATTGTGTAGGTCAGTATAGCTACATTATATGTCCAGCCGAAGCTGGAAACCGTGAATTGTTACTAATCAATCTTCATAACGACACCCGACGGCAAACGTGCAAGCATCTATCGATCAACGGATTCTTCGGTGAATGTTCATTTCGACCGAACTGAAGACACTTTTGGACAATTTGTATAGTGCTGGATTGGCAAGCAGTATTTATTTTCAAAGGTAACTGCTCAAATGTATATGTCCAGCCGAAGCAATTTGATCGATTTCTAACACCACACCTTCAATTCTACTTGAACACATTTCTGTGAATACCACCCTCGGATCGGCAAGTGACACAACAATACGCCAGAATTACCGCATCTGGAACCTCCTTACGTAATCGTCGTACGTCATCAGTCATCAACAAGGGAATCCCCACACGATCACCTTTGTCAGTCTACACTTCGTCTGGACCGAATCTGGCGATAGAGTTGTAAACAAACAGAGGTCATCACAATAAATCGCCCGAAGAGGAAGTCAGCAAATACGGTGTACCAGGTTAGTGAACAATAGTATGTGTTCAGGCAAGCTTGGACAACACAGAAATTACACATAAATAATCGTATAATCCTCTTCGGCCTGAACTGTTACACTACCTAAACCCGAGCGCTGTATGAGCCCCTACATTAGTTGTTTATCGCTTACGGCTGGATATTTTATTATTTCATCGTAGTCAACTTTCCTGCCAGGTTAGTTACTACGGTATATGGCCAGCCGAGGCCTGACAACTTGTGATACTACATAAATATTTCCTATTCTACACATACTCTGCATATCCTGAGATTGTATTGGCACGAATCTACATACACATCGTACATTGGTTCACATAACGTTGCGAATAGCCCAACACTACTACGAAGCTCTGTTAAGGTTAGTGCTAAAGTATATGGCCTGCAGAAGCTAGGTCTATTTGGATACTACATTGCGCTTTTATTCTCTTTGACCAATACTATATGCGAGTGATTGGAACTGCAACCCTGACCTTGAATGAATGAAACTGTTGGAACAGCTGATCAGCTTACCTCTGTTGATATCGATTAATTTGGATCTATAATTCCGATTTGGGTCGGAGCGACTGTTCTGTCAGGTCAGTCTTACTTAGTATATGTCTAGCCGTAGCTAGACATTCTTTTTGGTACTACACCTGAACCTTTCTTTATTGGTGAATACTTGGACTGCGAGAATCAATCATCATGCTTGGTCCTGGAAATAAAAAGACACCAACCTTACGAGCTGTGCAACTGAAACTCAAGGAAACGCAATCGATGTTCGGAGATATTCGTCATTTTGTCAACAACTTCAAAGATAATACTAGCGCAAGTCAGATTCAGGTTAGGGTGATCAAGTTAGATGAGCTTTGGGAAAATTTTTGTGAAGCTTTGGTAGAAATCAAATCCCATGAAGAGTATGTTGCAGATGAGGACAAATACGCTAAGGAGAGACAGCAGTTCAGTAATCAATACTACGATGTGAAGGCCTTTTTGTTAGAAAAGTTAGAACTTCTACAACAACAATCTGCTAGGGAAACTTCAATCCATAATGTTTCCATGCAAACGGCGTCAGATCACGTTAGATTACCTCAAATCAAACTTCAGTCATTCAAGGGGGACATTGAAGAATGGCTTGGTTTTCGCGATTTATTCAAATCGCTCATCCACTCTCGGACGGATTTACCGGATGTAGAAAAGATGCATTATTTGAAAGGATGCTTGCAAGGTGAACCAAAGGGTCTTATCGATCCACTTCCAATAACCGGAGCCAATTATCACGTTGCTTGGAACATAATCATGAAGCGCTATGACGATAGCAAACAACTCAGGAAGAGGCAAATCCAATATCTCTTTAGTCTACCATCCGTGTATAAGGAATCAGTTTTGGAATTGCAAGCTTTAGTCGAGGGATTTGAGAGGACTGTACAGATATTAGATCAGATAGTTGAGGCCAAGGACTATAAGGATCTGCTTTTGGTTAATATGCTGTCTTGTCGACTAGATCCAGCAACTCGTCGATCATGGGAGGAACAGTCGTCAACCAAGGAAAAGGATTCGTTGAAGGAAATGTTGGAATTCTTACAACGACATATTCAAGTGTTGGAATCTTTACCAATCAAGCCGGTTGAATCCAGGATTGTACAGTCTTCCGCACCAAGACAAAGGAGTCAAACGGTCAAGGCGAGCTACAATTCTACAGAATCATTGGCCTCTAGTTGTGTCTGTTGTTCAGAAAATCATTATCTATACACCTGTCCTGTTTTCCAAAGGTTGCCTGTAAGATATCGTGAGGCTGTTCTGCGGAAACACTTACTTTGCCGAAACTGTTTTAGAGCAGGACATCAAGGAAAGGACTGTCGGTCGAAGTACTCTTGTCGAAATTGTAGGGGGCGACACCACACACTGGTTTGTTTCAAATCTAATCTGGACGATACTTCGACTTTAAGGAACAATACATCTTCTACTTCTCCGGAAGACGCTGATGCTTCTACTTCTTCAATGGATGCAGTTGCGAACATAGCAACTTCGGAAACACTAAAGGAAGTGTCTACTTGCAACACAGTGAGCAGAACAACGTCGAAGGTGTTTCTGTCCACTGCGGTTATTCTAGTTGAGGATAGCGAGGGCAACAAATATCCAGTACGTACCCTCCTAGATTCGGGTTCCGAATGTAACTTCATTTCGGAAAGGTTCAGTCAACTTTTAAAGGTGGTTCGGACTAAGGTTGACATCAAGGTACAAGGAATCGGTCAAACATCAACACTGGTGAAGCATCAAATTCAGATCAAGGTTCGATCAAGGATTTCGCAATTTGCTCGGTCAGTGAATTTCTTGGTTTTACCAAGGGTAACGATAAACCTTCCTACTACAACGGTGGACGCATCAGGATGGTCGATTCCCCAAGGTATTAACCTTGCGGATCCAGGATTTTTTAAATCAACTGGAGTGGATATGGTTCTAGGTATTGAGCTATTCTTCAGTTTGTTCGTCATCGAACACAAAATATCGCTCGGAGATAACATGCCCACGTTGATCGATTCGGTGTTTGGCTGGGTGGTATGTGGTACCTTGGCATTACCTAAGGCGATAACTCAGGTCAACTGTAATCTGTCAGTCTCGAATCGACTTGAGGATCTTCTTACTCGTTTCTGGGAATGCGAAGAAGTTGGAGAACAAAGCAATTCATCACCTGATGAAGCATTTTGTGAGGAACAATATCAACGCACAGTTCAGAGAGCAGATGATGGTCGATATATAGTCACTCTCCCCAGGAATGAAGTTATGCTGAAGCGTATGGGTGAATCGAGGGATATAGCTCTGCGGCGCTTCTACAGCACGGAACGCAGGTTGGCGAAGGATAACAACTTACGTCAACAGTACGTGGCCTTCATGGAGGAGTATCAACAATTAGAACACATGAAGGAGGTTCAGGAAATTACAGGCATCGATATCAAAAGGTGTTACCTACCACACCATCCTGTGGTGAAGGAATCGTCTACGACAACCAAGGTGCGAGTCGTATTCGATGCGTCCTGTAAAACATCGACCGGAATATCATTGAATGATGCCCTCTACGCAGGACCGGTGATTCAGGAGGATTTGCGAGCGATTATCATTCGTGGACGAACTAGACAGATCATGGTTGTTGCTGATGTGGAGAAAATGTTCCGGCAAATTTGGTCTTGCCTTACGGATCTTCGATTCTTAAGTATATTCTGGCGTGCTTCACCCATGGATGAGATCAAAACCTACGAACTATGTACGGTCACCTACGGAACTAAACCGGCACCATTTCTAGCTACTAGAACCTTGAAACAACTAGCAATCGATGAAGGTCACCGATTTCCTTTAGCGGCCGTTGCTGTGGCAGAGGATACATACATGGATGATGTAATAACAGGGGCAGATGACATTGAAAGGGCGTCGAGGCTAAGAGCGGAACTGCAGGGAATGATGGAAGCAGGAGGTTTTCATCTACGGAAATGGGCATCGAATTGTTCTAAGGTTTTGGAAGGAATTCCACAGGAAAACTTAGCCATTCCCAAAACTAAGGAAATTAACTTGGACTCGAATTCATCGGTGACCACCTTAGGTTTGGTTTGGATTCCCGGAACGGATAAGTTGAAATTTAAGTTCCAAATCCCCAAGCTGGTTCCTACTGAACAACTCACGAAACGAAGGATTCTCTCGATTATCGCTACACTGTTTGACCCAACCGGGCTGATTGGAGCTGTTATCGTTGAAGCCAAAATTTTTATGCAACGCTTGTGGATGATGCAAGGTGAAAACGGTGAAAAACTAGATTGGGATGATCCGGTTCCTTCGAAGGTTAGTGAGGATTGGTGGCGATTCTATCAACAACTACCACGATTGCAGGAGATTGAAGTTGATCGTTGTATAGTTATTCCTTCTGCAGTATCCCTGCAAATTCACTGTTTCTCTGACGCTTCCTTGAAGGCCTACGGAACCTGTTTATACCTACGGAGCAAGGATGCATCAGGACAAACCCTTGTTCGATTGTTAGCGTCACGATCAAAGGTCGCACCTTTGAAAACACAATCCCTGCCAAGGCTTGAACTGTGTGGTGCCCTCCTAGCAACTCAACTCTGCCAAAAGGTGAGAAAGGCGATTCGCATTGACGCTCAGGTCTACTTTTGGACAGACTCTACTTGCGTGTTACGTTGGATCAAGGCCTTTCCTGCTACATGGACGATCTTTGTGGCCAACAGGGTGTCCAAAATCCAAGGTTTGTCGGAAGGATGTCATTGGAGCCATGTAAGAGGAATCGAAAATCCAGCAGACCTCATATCACGCGGATTGAATCCAGACAACATAATTGACAGCCAAATGTGGTGGAGCGGTCCGAATTGGTTGCAGAACAATCGCGAACAGTGGCCAAGGCAAAGTCCAGAAACTAGCGAAGAAGGAGAAGAGGAGCGTCGCCGTTGCGTAGCAATCAATACTGCCTCATCGTACGAAGAGTTTAATGTTTGGTACATATCTAAATTTGATTCATATCATGATCTGATCCGTCGTACTGCTTATTGGCTGCGCCTAATGGATCTTCTCAAACTACCAAAGGGAAGGAGGAAGAAACCGGAACCTTTAACGACAATCGAAATGCGCAGAGCTGAAGGAGTCCTCATTCGAAGAGTGCAAATTGAATCATTTCCCGATGAATGGAAGGCTGTATCAAACGGATCAGCTGTGTCGTCGAAATCACCTCTTAAATGGTTCTGCCCTTATATATCCAAGGAGGATGGACTTCTGAAAATTGGAGGAAGACTCAACCAATCACAAGCATCGGAAGCTACGAAACATCCATCAATCTTACCAGCTCGCCATATTTTCACTCGAAAACTACTGACATGTTTTCATGAAAGACTATTACACGCTGGTCCCCAACTACTTTTAGCCACAGTTAGACTTTTTTATTGGCCTTTAGGAGGAAGAAGTCTAGCCCGAAAATTGGTTCACAATTGCTTGAAATGCTATCGTTCGAACCCATCGACCATCCAACAATTTATGGGAGAATTGCCATCTTCGAGAGTAACTGCTTCGAGACCTTTTTCTCACACAGGAGTGGATTATTTCGGACCAGTATACGTAAGACTTGGTCCACGTCGAACAGCAGTGAAGGCATACGTTTCCGTATTTATTTGCTTCTGCACCAAAGCTGTACACATGGAGCTAGTGACAGACTTATCAACGGAACGCTTTCTTCAAGCATTGAGACGATTTATTTCACGTCGTGGTAAACCCAGCGATATATTTTCGGATAATGGAACTAATTTTGTTGGGGCAAAAAATCAGTTGACGAACTTGATCAGTTTTCTAAAAAACCGAGAACATCGCGACAAGATCACCAAGGAGTGCAATGAAGAAGGCATCCAATGGCATTTTAGCCCTCCTAGCGGACCCCATTTCGGAGGCCTCTGGGAAGCTGCTGTACGATCAGCGAAAAAGCACTTGCTGAAGGTGATGGGAGATAGCGTTCTGAGCTTCGAAGACATGAACACTCTGATCACTCAGATTGAAGGTTGTCTTAATTCGCGACCTTTAACGCAATTGACGGAAGATCCTGGGGACTTAGAACCATTAACGCCAGCTCATTTTCTTATTGGTTCATCGCTACAGAGCCTACCAGAATGTGATTTTACTGATATTCCCACGAATCGTTTAAGGCAATGGCATCTTGTTCAACAAAAGGCCCAACAGTTTTGGAAAAGATGGAAGAGGGATTATCTTACTCAACTTCAAGGTAGGATGAAACGTTGGAAACCCGCAGTGAAAATTGAGATAGGAAAACTAGTGGTGATCCAAGATGATAACCAACCGCCACTACGATGGAAAATGGCCAGAATTCACCAGCTGCACCCTGGACCCGATGACGTTGTTAGAGTAGTCACACTCAAGACCAGTAGCGGTTTCTTGAAACGTCCTGTTGAACGATTATGTCTTCTACCATTACCGAATTGTGACGAAGCGGAGTCAGTACAACCCCACGATCCTTGAAGTCCTTTCCCACTCGCAACTGTTCCGGTCGAAGAGTTTTATTTTATTTTCAGAAATTGCAGCTATTTCAGGGAGGGCGAGTATGTTTCCGACGAAGTAGCCCGCATACGCCTATGGTTAAAGCTGTGGATCTGTGTGCGATGCAGTATATAGGCCGATTGATCGAGAGATGAGAGGAGCGATAAAGACATCATCCGAAATTAACGGAGAGTTCGGAACGATGACGTCACGAAGCAAGCGTATACTGATCGGGTCTGGATTCGGATTAGTGTTAGGAAATAAGGAATGCATTTTTTAGTTGCTACATATCAACCACGGTGTCCGGTCGACGGTCTATTTTTGTATAACTATTAAGTAGATTCGAAATATTAGTTTAAGTCCATTGTGTAATAAATGTTAAAAGTAGTATTTTGTTTGCCCTAAAATAAATTGTGTATTGCTTGTACGTCGCGTCGTTATTATATTATAAACGAAGAATTGTGGAACTTGGCAGTGTCGGGATTGTGTGTCACAGTCTACAGTCCACTTGGATTCATCCTACACCTTCAACCCGCTTTAGGAACGAGCGGTTTGGATTGCTGCAACTGGAAATCGATTGGTAGGAAGGAATTGATTACACCCCGACAAGTATTGTGGAGCAAAAATTTCAAATTTTGCATCACTCTAATAGATACCCCTTGAAAACTGATATTGTGTGTCAAACATTGACAACACTCCGGCGTACCCCAGGTTAGCAGGAATGCCTAATTGGTAAATTTGAATGCTTAAATCTAAGAAGCGTGAATCCCAAAATAGTAGAACTTGAATTCCCCACGATAAGCTTAACAACACGGACAAAAAACGCCCAAAGCTGCTGCAACAAATTGTCCAATTTTCTGCCCAAGCAGCTCCCTGTGGCAAGTATTTTTCTGAGAGCTAATAAATTCGCCATAATCCCATTCGACCCGATTAGGGCCAACCACTCGCAAAATATATACGTACATAAAAAGAACGAGAGTGATAAAGGACCTACTCGAATTAGGATGCAAAAATTGCAACCATTTTTCAGCCGTATTTATTGCGACCGACAAGTGCGCTGCTACCGAGTCTCGTTAGGCGCATATATTTCAAAACCCGGCGAGCATTTTTCGGCTACAACAGCTAAGAAGATTATAGAGAGCCGGGTAGAATTGTTTAGTCCTAGTCCTGGCACCACAGCAGAATGTTGCGCACAATTTTTCGCGTGGCGTATACATTTTAATAGAATATAAAACAGGATTTGCGAATCGTTGTTGTCGGTTGTTGTCTACTGGGTAGCGAGTTCAAGATGAGAAAATTTCCCACCATCATCGCATCGGTAGATAGGAAGCAGAAGTGCATCCATAAGTTGGTCCCGGATTAGCATACACTGCTCGTTTGAGGAAAGGATTAAAATTTCTATCACTCTGCACTGGAAGTGCATCCGACCTGTGCGGAAATAAATGCCGCAAAACAAACTTAGTAGAAATTTTCCGTGGCGTGAAATGAACGCCATTATGCAGAAGCGAAATGAGGTGGTGACGGATGCTGGATTGTTCAAACGAACTACTCACCTTGCGTCAAACATTATTTCCACCTGTTTGACGCCGAGAGCAACCATTAGCATTAAATATGGTGCGTATATAATTTTAATTAAAATTTCGACTCAAATGCAGCTCTGATGGATCGGATTCGTCCCAGCGAAAACAAGGGGCCGGGGCTGGAACCTGCATAATTCCGGGAGCACATTGAAGCGCGATCTATTAATGAGCCTGTGGCAAATATGCGTGAATTGCAGTGCATATTTGAGGTAATTTTTTTCTCGGTTCTGTGCCGACTGGTTTTCCGGATTTCCGGAGAAAAAAAACACTGCTTTCCGGCTCATATTTCAAACATAAATGAGTGAACACTTCTGCGGTTGCCCACATGAAAACGCGTTGCTGGCTGGGTGGCGAACAAGTGGAAGCCAGTCATATGCGGGTCACTGCACATTGTAGAAGTTCATTTGATCTTAATGACAGTTTCAATATCTGGATTAAGGCATTCTGGAATGAAACTGGCAAATTGCACTGAATTTCTGGAACTGGGATACTCCGGGTGGAGGGGCAAGTCCAGAGCAAGTACTGATGTAACACTTTTTTTTTTTTGTAATTGTCACACTGTGTCAGTGTGGAAGATATGAATTGTTCCTGGCACCACATTTTCCGATGAATTCTGGCAGAGAACCACCTCTGGTGGCAAGGATCGAAATGCAGGGTAGCCACTGAACGGGGAAAACTTGGAGAACCAGGAATTAACCGGGAATCGAGAACAACGGGGAAAACGGGAATTTGAATGGAGCCTTAACATATTTGTTTGTACATACATAAATGGAATTGTGTTACTAAATCTTCTATGTTTGATATAAAGACAATTGACACCATCTTCAACCAGAGGTTGCACAGACTGAACACTTAACACTAGGAAAGACAACCAGTAGGGACAATTTCGGGTATCATTGAATTGTTTTATCAGAGCCACCCTCATCAGCCCCAATTTCTAAAAATGTTCATAGAATGATATGTTGAATTTTGATATTTTTTTTCAGCAAAGTTGCTTAACATTAAATTATCTATAACTTCGAAAGAAGCAAGTATTCCTCATTATATTAAAAATAGAAAGTTAAAAACTTAAATTTGGAGAAAAGAGGATCACTCTAGTCACTACCCACGCCTAAAGAAAGATCTCTCGAAGATGTCAATCCTCTAGAGTACATTGTTTTTGAGATATGGATTTTTGCCGTGAATTTTTTGCTTTTTCGACCATAATGGATTGCTTGGGTTTTTTTTTCATTTACGTTGTGCACCGTCGATATCTCGCTAATAGATAGGGGATTGTCTCGTCTGTCTGACTGTGTTAGATCGCTTGATAGAATGATCGTTCATGAGAAATCGGCGATGGAAGTCAAAAGTGAGAGGTACGCTATATTGAGGTATACTTGTATCTATTTTTCTTCCTCATGTCGGATCATGTTTCAACATGAACAAAAGCTCATCACACGTACCAACCGAACAATAGATCACGCACGATAGAGGCCATCCCATCGGGTAGGGAAAAGGAATCAATAACAATGACAATAAATGCATAAAAATACTTCCGACTGGAACGAACTCTCAAAATCAATACATGATCGATGTTCAATGGTTCGGATTCATGCTCTATGAATTCAAACTGCTTCACTTGAACCAGAAATGACCAAAACAAAAACAATCAAATTGAACTCTTTCCCCATCACTTGGAATTCAAGTCTCAACATAAATGGCAGGTTTGTTCATTTGACTAGAACTCACATTCATCCATCCAGGTAGGATCGAAACCCGATCGAGCTGGAATCCGATGACCCCATACCATAGGCGCCAATTTAGAGTAGGGTATGGCACTTTTGGCTCCCCAATAATTTTCTAAAAAAATTAAATTTTATCTTGAAGTATGCAAAAACGTATTCACAAAAGAAAAACACCTAAACTGCTATCCCATGGTTAATTTCAATCCAACGCTAATTTTAAATTTAAAGAACCGGGGATTAACCGGGAATCGAGAGCAATCGGGGAAAACTGGAAAATAACCGAGAATTTCATTGCATATTTTAGTACTAATTTATTTTGAAAATTTATCTAGGTCTAGGATTGTATATACTTTTTCGATGATTTTTTGAAGTGACAGAATCTAGATGCATTTGAATCAGTTCATGATCTTTAAAATTTGTTTAAAGTTTAAAGTCTCGGTGACTTTTCGGAGTTCCTAAAATTTGAAAGTTTTGTTCCTGTAATCTTGAAAAAGAATTCTATGTTTAGAATTTTGATCTGCAACTTTTTTTAAAAATTCTGATTTTTTAAATTTTCTATTGGTAAAGAAAGGTTATGTTCCACTTAATTCCACTTGTATCCTTTGGTTTGGTTTTTCCGTCGATCTTGTTTTCCGTGCTGAGCACAAATGCTACCGACGTGCCAGGAAGGCAGCTCCCACACCTGGACCCTACCTATCGACCCATCAACTCATGAACCGGGGACCAACGGCTTTACTTCCCATCCGAAGGAAGGCGTGATCAGAGATCTTATGCCTCAGAACATCCCGGCGGCGCCGACTGGGATTGAACCCAGGCCTGCTGGGGTGAGAGGTAATCACGCTTACCACTACACCACCGGCGTCGTTGTATTTTATCCATAACAGATACGTATGTCGATTAGAATGTACAGTCTTCATCAGTGTCAATTCCGCTAAAGACAAAATCTAACCCCCTTAAGTACCCAATCCCCAAAGGCTTGGTAGTTATCATAATGAAGTAATGAAATTGGGCTGTTAGTAGAATGCTTTAAAAGCATTCCACTAACAACCCAATTTAATTTTTTCATTATGATGGCTACCAAGATTTTGGGAATTTTCCTTATTATAGATTTACTTTACTTAATTCTTGGGTTCTGATTCTGCATTTTTATACCTGTGATCTTGACATGAGATGATCTAGGGGATGAGTACTTAAGAGGATTAGATTTTGATTAGTCTTTAATGGGAATGACACTGATGAAAACTGCACATTGTAGTCGAACTTTGATACATTTTTTTTTTTTTTTTTAATATCTTTATTAAGGAGACTTTCAGCTTTGATACAATATCAAAATTAATTAGGTGGAATTAAATGAAAGATACTCTTTTGTGCTGTTGTTTTTGAGCATTCCACTACAACCCAGTTTCATAACTTAATTTTTTATTAGTTTTTGATATACTGTGGTCTTCAATATTGTAATATAACTTAGCTAAAGAATCCTTAAATACTTCATAATTTTTCATATGGGATCACCGTTTCTTTTTCTAGAATGTGCAATTCAATTCTAAATTGGGGACCTTTAGTATTTAGAATTAGTAAAAATCCAGGATATCCGAGGTTTTGTAAAAAAAATACGCAGTCCATAAATTTTAAAAACCTTGACATTTTCCAAGATCTAGAATTTCCATAGCCTGGAATA